CCTAACATAACTCCCCCTGCAAGCTGCGCGGTCCTGACGGCAGAGCTGCAGGTGCTGTTAGCCAAAGCAGCTACTGTATCTCTGGGGTGCCACTGGGGCAGGAGCACGACGGCTTTTTTTTGTGCGACTTCCTGGTTCCCAAAAAACCAGGCGAAATGAGACCCGTTCTCGATCTGTCTCTCTTCACCAATTACATAGTACAGAGACAGTTTCACATGCTCACCACAAACAAGTACTGGAGTGTGTGCGTCCCAGCGATTGGTTTACTTCCATCGATCTATGAGATGCCTATTTTATTCATGCACCTGTTGTCCCCAACACAGGAAGTTCCTGCGTTCCTCCTCCCAGGGTGCACTTTTCCAGTACGACAGTCTGCCCTTTGGCTATTCACTGGCCCCCTGCATGTTTTTCCAAGTGCGTGGAAGTGGCGTTAGTACCGCTACACAGAACAGGAATCAAAGTCCTCTTTTATTTGTCAGATTCTGATGGCGTGCCCCAGACCTCAAGCAGGTTTTCACACAGGGGGCTGGTGCAACACCTGACACAGCTGGTTTTTTGCAATAAATCCATACATAAAGAAAGAAGGACAAGCGCTCACCGGTGCCCTCCCAGACTATTTCTTACCTGGGAGTGCACTCAGACTCAAGCTATTCACCCACTTTTTTCTGAGTGCAGTGAAGTGGTGCTAGAGCCACTACGCAGAGCAGGAGTCAAGAGTCCTCTTTTATTTAGATGACCTGATTCTGATGGCGTGTGTGTGAGACATCACACAGCGGTGCTGGTGCAACTTCTGACACAACTGGTTTTTGTAATAACTGGACAAGAGCTCTGCGGTGCCCACCCAGACAATCGTCTACCTGGGAGTGCACTTAGACTCTCTTAGCATGGAAGCGAGGCTGTTATCCACCAGGTGAGAAGTGTTTTCATCTCTCCTGCAGCGTGTTGTTCCCCACACGAGAGTAACAGCTCTATCTGTCATGCTTTTACTGGGAACAATGTCAGCCACTCATGTCGTAGTTCCCCTCGGTCTTCTTCTTACGAGGAAGTTCCAGAGGTGGTTTGGCCACCTGCGCCTCAACCCAGTGTGCCACAGAAGCGCGTGCCCACGATTCCCCCCTTGGTCCAATCAGACCTGGAGTACTGAGGAACTCCCACCGTCAGCACACTGCGAGTTCCCCCTGGGCAGAGCCACATCACATGTCTTGGTGTTCACAGACTCGTCTCTGTTCGGCTGGGGAGGCATGTGTCCGTCACAGGCTGTGAGAGGACGGTGGGATCACACCCCATCTCTCCCATCAACGGTCTGGAACCAGCTATGGTGCTGAAGGTGGTGAAACACCTTGCACTGGTGCTGAGAGGAAGACACATAGTGGTGTGATCAGACGTTCTAATACGTCGCATACATCAGCCATCAGGGCGGTGTTGGTTTTGCCGGCTGCTGAAAATTGCTCTGAGCTCATCAGAACTTGTTCTCCCTCAGAGCTGTTCGTGTCCCCAGTGAGCAGAACCGTGCTGTGGATCTCATGTCACAAGGCAGACCTTAGCCCAACAAGTGGAGGCTGAATCCGTCCCTCTTTCAGACACTGTGGGACAGGTTCGGCCCAGTGGTGGCAGGCCTGTTCGCAGCACGCGAGAACATGCGGTGCCACCTCTGTTTTTCACTGAACGTTCAAGAGGAATGGCTGCGCATCCTCCTGATAGCTCCAGAGCACGCAAGCGCTCTCTCATCTGCTTGGCGCAACACAGCAGTGCCCCGGCAGGTCAATGGTTGTGGGCCTGGCCCCTGAACGGGAGTGACTGGAGAGCCTACGGTTGCCTCCGGCAGTCATGCACATAATTCAGTGCACGAGAGCTCTGTCTATTATGGCGCCTTAAGCTACAAATGGTCAGTTTTTCAACGTTGGCACATGGAGAGGGGCACAGCTCCCACTTCCTGCCCAATGTCTTAAGTGCTGAATTTTCTACAGATCCTGGTGGAAAGAAGCCTGGCTCTGTCTACTGTGTAAGCATATGCCAGTGCCATCTCTTCATGCCATGAAGTTTTTGGTAAGCGAACTGTGTTTTGCACACCCACTGGTGAAATGCTTTCTCAGGGGTATAGGCAGACAAGGCCTGTGACGCGTTCAGTGGCACCTCAGTGGGATTTACCTCTGGTTTTATGCGCGGTCAGTGAACCCCCCTTTGAGCCCATAACACAAATCACTCTCAAACATCTCTCTCTGTAAACAGCACTTCTCTTAGCCCTAACTTCGGCTAAGCAAGTGGGCCATCTGTGCGCAATGTCTGTCTCACCGGCGTGCCTTCTCGTACACGAAGACGGCAGCTCAGCCGTTCTGAGACCGAATCCTGCCTATGCATCAAAAATAATAACATCCTTTGTTTGATCCAGTCATTACCTGGATGCCTTCTTTCCTCCGCCCCACAGAGATGAGTCAGAGAAAGAACTTCATGCTCTCTGTCCGGTGCGCGCACTGTCCCATTACAAGGCGCGCATGGCAGCTGTCAGACAGACACAACAACTGTTTTGTTCATTGTAGGAGACATTCTGTTGGACAGCCTTTATCCAAACCACGGCTATCACACAGGCTTACGTATTAGCTGGGTGTGATCCCCCACCTGGCATCAGAACCCACTCTATGAGGGCTATTGCATCCCCCACTGCCCTCTTTTAAGGCATGATCATGGAGGACATCTGCACAGCAGCCTCATGGGCTGTGTCTTTTGACCCTATTCTACCTTCGGGACGCGCCCGAGTTTTTCCACTGGCTCACTTGGTCTTGAGTGTTCTATGCGACCAAGTGACTTCCCTCTTCATGGAACACAAGCGCACAACCGCCACTGAGCGCTGATTCCACATGTGTGCTTGTTAGCCATGTACACTCACTTGACTGTACTATCAATGCAAACTGCCGTTGTACCCACTGTGTGTGTGTGTGTGCCCTTCCTGCACACGCGCACTCTGTCTGTACGCTCGCCATGTTACTCATGTTCTCCATTGGTAATATTGCTATCACTACTGTGAGACAACAGCTGCGTAATACAGGCATCTGATTATCTCTATACGCTGCTAGCGCCCGTATGCTCTTGCAATTTAACTGTTATCTCTGTGCTCTTCCCTGCACTTCTCCTCCCCTGTTAACAGAATGGCCATTCTGCCTTTTTACAGTGGCAGTCAGGTGTTTATATGGGCATGATTGCACCTGCTTCTCAGGCAAGGCCTGATACAGTAGAGAGGATGTTGTTGGGCGGTGGTGTGCCAACAGGGCATTGACTACATCCAGATGCGCTTTTATCCCAATAGCGACAGCTCTTAGAAGGCTACGCCTATATTCATAGAAGCTTGGGTTAATGTACGTAACCATCGATATGCATTGTTGTAGCTGACATGAGTTTATACTTGTCATGTGATACCCTAATATCTAAATTTATGGGCAAGTTTTTCTTCATTTTTTGATCATTACTCTTACTAGTTGAATTGAAATTGAAAGAATATGGAATTTTTTATCTCTTGACCTGCGAAGGATGAGATGTGACCAAGTCACCAATAAGGCTACAGTAGCATAGTTGCTAAACTGTTTTGATTTGACTTATATTTTCTTTCACTGTGATGGCTTGGCTAGCTTCTGCCCCTTGTTTCCAGTCTTTATGCTAAGCTAAGAGTCGGTGCTGGTGTTAGCTTCATAATTAACAACTGATAAAAACATGACTTAAAAACAGAGTTGATAGTCTCAATCACTTACATTAGCTTAGTTAACTCTCGGAAAGAAAGCGAATGAGAGTGCCTCCATGAATGATGAACTATTCCTTTAAATCGGTCCTTATGTCTCCCAAGGCCTATTAAGTGCCTCAGCTTTCCAAACCTTTTTACTTAAAGAAAGCTGGCTAACCCATCGATCAAGAGATTAATGGTGTTTTCTGTACCACAGGCATGTGAGAGATTTTTCAAGTGAAAATGAAGAAACTGTTTTGGGAAACCTTTGCCAGCACCTACCACCCTGAGGCCTGCCTCTATAGTCAAGTACCAGTTACAGCATGTATGCTACTGGCCCAGTGACTTGTGTGTGTGTGTGCATGTGTGTCCAGATACAGTCAGGGAAAAAATTATTTGAACCCCAGCTGATTTTGTAAGTTTGCCCACTAACAAAAAAATGATCAGTCTACAATTTCAATGGTAGGTTTATGTGAACAGTGAGAGACAACAATAACAAAAAAATACAGAAAAATGCATTACAAAAAAGTTATACATTAATTTGCATTTGATCATTTCTTTGTTAGTGGGCAAACTTACAAAATCAGCTGGGGTTCAAATAATTTTTTTCCCTGACTGTATCTCTGTTAGCAGATAATTCTTTGATCACTTACTGTATGTTTCTGGCTATTACTGGGACCAAACCAACTCCATACTAGATTATGAACTTCACATTATCCCAATAAATAGACATCAGACTCTAAACTATGCCAGTCTATATCCTACCTCTCTTCAGTTAAAGTAGTTACAATGTTACATTTAGCCAGGACTATCATTTGGTAAAATCAACTTGTATTTAGAGAGGCCTTTAAGAACCAGCACATTCCTAACTATTGCAGTCAAGCATCAAAACACATAATCTATCAAATGCATTCTGAGAAATACACTTACTGGGTTGTCAGTCTGATTGATGCCAAACAGGAAGACAAGCTCAGAGAAGAAGAGTGCAGCTAACAGGTTCCTGTGGATGGCATGGAGGTTGGAGCGGAGCCAGTGCAAGAGGCAGAGCAGGATGAAGGTGATGAGGAGAAGTAACAGGGAGACCGACACTGTGGTGTAGGTGACGATCTTCAGGGGGAGAACATCACCGTGCTGTGGAGAACGATTCCCATAAATCAAGACAGTGGTCAATATAACAGCAATGTACAGAAAATAGCAAACTTAGCTGGACGTACTACATATAGTTTCAGCAGTACCTCTCTCTTGGAGATATCCATCAGCACAGCAAAGCTGGTCATGTGGTTACACTGACAGCTTATGTGAGTATTGTTCCTGTTGAGCACCTCGCAGCCTTTAGAAGACCAGCCACCTGTTCCTCCAATCCTAAACACACCAACACACACACACACACACAAAACAGATATCAGTAATGCAGAAACTAGAAACAACATTATGACTGCTTTTTATATGCAGAAGTCAATGCTTGAGCAATTGAATACTCATGCATGTGTGTGCATTTCAAGTCCAACTCACGCGAGCGAGTGGTTCCAGAAGACACAGACAGGTTTGGTCCTCTCCTCTGTCTCCAACAGAGTGTATTTAAGGGTGATGGGGGGGTCCAGGATGGGGGGAGGAGGCGGACCTTCGCTATGGACTGTGGTGCTCACTATGGCTGTGTTTATCACCGGACGGTTGGGGACCCTGAAAGCACACATCTAAGTATTATCAAGAATTATTCATTTCAAGTTTTTAATGACTGATCTGCAGCAAGTTTTCATTTTGTTTTTATGAATCACATTACAGTGGATTACACTGAAAACACAGTAACACACACAATCACACATAGATGAGCACACAGCAACACTAACTTTTGTTATCATGAACAATAAATGACACCATAACAGACCAAAAATTTATGTCATTCTGTTAGGCCTTGTTTTTAGCAGTTTGACTGGATTACACTTCATATTTTAATCCTAGTATAGTTCGTAAGAGCATTTGTCTGCATAATACATAATGGCAGGCCTGAACTCTTTTATTCACATTAAGCTTACTTACAGTGGATTGATTTTTATTTTACATAAGTCAATAATCTACCTCAGACTCCTGCGGTCATGGTCATATCTTTCTGGGAGCAGTTGTCCCAGTGATTTGTACACTATCACCACAGCAACCGGCAGAGGGGCAGCTGTTTCAAGTTGGCGCTGTCTCCTCTCAGACACTGTGTGCTCCTCCTCCAGAGGGGGATCAGTCTGAGTTGAAGGTGTGGGAATGGCCTCTGCTGAGTTAGACAGGGGGATAGATGTATAAATAAATTGGCTGGGATAGTTATTGCAATGTAGTGTTTAATCTTCAGTGGACTGGATACTAATTCTGCCTGCATTCCTACCTCTGTGGCCCTGAGCGTGAAGGTTGAACTTGGGAAAATGGACAGAGGACTTGAGCTCTCTGGAGTAGGCTTCCTGGATGTCCTGGAATCGAGGGAGTTCTGCCTTTTCTGGGTCCGAAACATCCAGGTAGTCCACAGTTAGAACTAGAAGATGGGCAAGGATACCAAGGATGAGAATGATATATGGTGTGCAATTATGCGTACCAGTTTCACACAGTAGGTTTTCAGTTCCTCCACTCACTCATGTTGTCAGTGACGATAGTGAAGGGTTTCAGGTAGGTTTTCCTGACGTTCTGTGCCAGTGTGTTGGCATAGTCCTCGAAGTTGCGGAGCAAATGTGCAGTGCCACCCTCAGTCTTCTGAATCTGCTCCCAGTGCTCCTTGTTGTTAGGATCCAATATGGCACTGCCTGCTCGCACTAAGTTCTGGAAAAAATACCAAATTACATGAATAAGGATTTAGTGTTGTATTACTGAAGATTATTGAAAGTAAATGTATCACATGAATATCAAAGAAACTAGGTGAAAAAGTAAAACACTGGTTGAAGTCTGAGACACTTACAGTGCTGGATCAGTTGAGGGCAGTGTACCACCAGTGATTCCAGTGCTACAGACTAGGGTTCACTATGTGTTCAGTTTCTTAAAGTAAGCTATACTCTAGATGACCACTTTGACAAACCTTATAAGATTCATTAAATCTTAATAATATTTTTTTTCTACCTCATTGAACTCTGCATCCCTCGTGGCAGTAAGGTCAAATCCCGACTGCCGACTCTCAAACTGCAGCACGTGATTCAGCAGCTGGGCGGCCGTCTTCACATCATTCCCATAGTAATTCGAAGTGTTACTGGTGGCACCGCGAAGCAAACGCACAATGGTTTTGGAGTGTTCATTGTCCATTTTTGAACTGTTGCGACGCAGGTCTTCGTTCTGGAAGAACAGAGGATTGAGGGATAAAAAGAGAATGTGAATGAGCAGGCCAAGGCAAAGGAAAGGTACGTGTGTGCAATGAAATGTAAGAGAAATTGGTCAATCCCAGGATTAGTGAGATTTGAGAAGTTCAAGCTTAAAGTATTAGGTTCAGGTTCAAACACAATAAGTGAAATACCCGTTGTACAAACAGGTGATCATATTACAGTTTACTGAAGACACATCTGCTCCTTTTTTTTTAAATAACTACTAGACTACTAGCAATCATTGTGATTATACCCATGCAAGGCACATGGGTATTCTCAATAATTCAGAGTGAGATTTCTAGCTTGAAATGACAGTGTTAAACGTTTTAGTTTTATTTTGACTAGTATTCACCATTTTCTTCAGATGAAAAAAAGTGACAGTAGTGCAGTTGAACAGCTCAGATGACAACCAGCCTTTCTCATCGCTACAGTGGCGGATGGCAGTACCTGGAATAATTACAAGTACAGAAGAAAATAAAATTCAAGTTCAAGTTCAAATCAAATTCCTCACATTTATTCCCAAAAGATACTAAGCCAAGTTAAATATCAAGCAGAATAGAGCAACATCTTATTTCAAAAATAAAAAAAAGAAAAGGTTTTACCCTTGGTTTTGTCTCTCAGGTGCTACTGGCAGCCCTACCTAATTGGTGAAGGTTGCCAGGGCTGTATGCAGCCTCAAAAGAACACCTCCATACACTACTAAGAGAGCTAAAACATTGCAGCCCGCAGCCCATTATATTTTTTTGGAATAAAAAATGATTTAATCCATATTTGTATTTATGAGTAATAATGTCCTAAAAAGATCCTTGAATGAACATCAAATTGTATATAACAAACCAATGCACTCTTTTAGTATTAGAATGCAACAATGTCCCTTGTGCATGACAATGAACGCCTATTTGATTAGATACTGAAAATTGCTCTGAATATGTGCTACACAGTTAAATGTAAAACATTTCTAGTCTTAGGGGCCTTAAGTTGTACCAGTCAGATGCATTTTGATAAAACACTTAATCCAAATGCCAAGTCTCTCCTCAGGTTATTGTTGCAATGGAAGGAGTTGCCAGCTAGAGTTAAAAGAGGGCAGCGAGCAATGTTAGCAAACAAAATCTCCAGTGACTTCGGGTAGAAAACAAAAGGGTTGCCATGGTGACAGCAGTTACTAATGTGACTGTGCTTTACTGGGAACAAATCAGTGAACTCGATGTGTGAGTTCGCTCAGACTCGCACATGGATACACACACTGATGGCGGAGGGGTATTAATACCTGGTGCTCTAACAGTCTTTACAGATTAATTCTGCACATGATTGGTGATGAAAACACTCTGCTGGATAAACTGAACTAAATCAGAAACAATGCTTTTAAGAGAGAGCGTGTCTTCCAAGGTCAAATGCAGTCAGTGCTCGAGTCCCAGTCCAAGTCTGAATCATCAGTACTCAAGTCTAAATCAAGTCCTGTAAATTAGGACTCAAGTCTGAGTCTTGGGTAATACAGCAGTGCAAAGTGTAGGCTCATTTTAAAATAACAGTTCCACATTTCAGGAAAAAAGCTTATTTTGCCAGCTAATGTTAGCCAACTTTAGCAGTAACTTTTTAGCGTAACATTACTTAATCATTTGACACCGACTTGATGAAATTTAAACACACAATTTACACATTTTTCTGCTTGTGTTAGTGTACGCTATTACAATGGCTCCTGTCCTGAAAAATGTTACACATTGGAAGCTCAATTTAAAGGAACAGTTCAACATTTTGGGAAAAACGTGTTCTCACAGAGGATGACATATAAAGGTAAAGCCAGAAGTCAGTTAGTTTTGCTTAGCATAAAACCTGTAAACAAGGGGGAAACGGCTATCTTGACTCAGTCTGAAGGTAACAAAATGCCAAATTATTCCCTTAACAAATACATTTCTCCAGAAAAAGGATGTTAACAGTTTTACCTTGTCACTAACCTTGATCTAAATGTTATGAGTAGCCTGAAACACTTCTCATCTCTGTTCATTTAAAGTGGATCACAGGCTCCATAACATCCAGAGCTATAATAAATAAATACTCCACACATTCAGTTGCACCAGAGGAATTAAAAGGTACCCACCAAGGGATCCTTTTGGACAGTTCATGGCAGCAGGGCGTCCAAATTTGGTCTTGGGCCACCAGATTCCGGCGTCAAATGCCTTGGGGCAGCCCTCATATACCACTGTAGAGGGGAAGGCACACAATAGAGACAAAGTTTATACTGGAATATGGTTCTAAACACAATACATACTGGATTGAAAGTATTATTGGATGTGATATCTAAACTGGCCCTAGACAAAATGAATAAACTACAGCTGAACTGCCTTAACATGCACCACAAATATTTGTTATCAAAGGTAAACATGTGCTTTGGTTCCACATCAGAACAACACATAGCCAATCTACTCCACCTTAAGAAACAGCCAGGCAAACCAACACAGTGACAATCAAACAAGTTAACCCTCAAGAGCAGTTATACACAGTTACATAGTACTTCATAGTACTTCATAGTACTTCATAATAATTCATTTTGGTATATCTACGTTAATAAATCTCCAGGACAAACCAAGCTGAGACCTGCATGACTGCTGGCTTTCTTGTTAATTGTCTAAAGTTCCTCAGTGGTTCATTAACTCTTAGGAGCTATTCCACTATTTTTACTACAATTATTTAATTTGAGCTTGCTTTCAATAAAATAACCAACTTAGTAACTTCTTGTAACTACATTTTCACATTTGCACTTTCAGACTAGGCTTACATTTTGTCTTACCTTTTCCTTAAGGATTATTCAGTATATCAGTTATGGCTGAAGTGACATAACAAATGCAGATGGAGAAATGTCTCAGTATGAGGTCTGCCATGGATGTTCTCAGTGACTCACAGGACATAAACACATCCTCGCCCCTTCCCTCACTTCTTTCTTGAGTCAGAATTTATGTGAAGTATCATATCAGTAATTAACAAAGCAGGATTTTGGACGTCAGTTTTAAACAAAAATGTTTCTACTGTCACAGGAACCACAAGGAATTATTTCAATTAAAAGTCTGAGCATGTTCTGAGACTGTGAAGAGCTTCAAACTGCACCAAACAGTAAGCTCACTGACATTCATCTTCTGTTAGGGACTTTGTGGTCTTTGACTTCTATTCATCCCTACTGTATTGTGTGTGAATGGCCCCACTGCCAAGTTAGCCCACTAGCCAGACTTGCCTCTTCTGCTTGACTGGGTGGCGACAAAGACATGAAGTTAGCTTAACTGCAACACCAGCAGATGTGAGCAACACCTTTTGTCTCCTTCTGACTCAAAAGGCCCACTTTGTGAACCAGAACATGTAAAGAACAATCACAAGTAGCTTCTAAAATTATTATTTTTCCTTTACTGTCCATATTATAAATACTACATATCCTTTATCCAAGCTTCATGATTTCACTTTTCATAAACAGCACATTATTTGTTTTAACAGCACTTTCACATATTTGACAGTTACATTTTACTTGAATGAATTACTGTTAATACTAAACATTATTATTAAGTTATCACTTCAGATATGTATGAATGAATTGGGTAATGCAAGCAGAAATTTGCTCTTATGCAGGACAGATTTATTAAGGACACTCTGTCACTAGCAGAAACATCAAAGTAATCAGGAAAGATCACATTTTAAATACAAATCACAAGAAAAACCTGAATTTACATGCCTTCACATCCAGTGGGGGTGACTTCAGCGAAGGGGTTATCACAGCGGTTACACTGACGACCTATGACTCCTCCCTTACAGGGGCATTGCCCGGTGATGAAGTCGCAGGTCCGAGACTCAGAGCCGATAGAGAAACACTCGCAGGGATAGCAAGTATCCTCACCTTCTGGACGATAGTGGTTTTCCTGCAGGAAGACGAGCAGACACAAATGACTAATCTAATATTAAGTTGATTAAAAGGGAGCAGGAAGAATGACAGAATGATACTAAAACATAGTGTATAACAGAAACATGAGTAAAGAATAGACAGAACTGACTCAGTAATGTCATTTACAAAGAAGAATGAAAGTTTGCTGAGCTTGGCTAACATTAGCCACAACAATCTAGTGGTCACACCAAAATCAACTAAATCCATGAATGTACTAATTTAAGTCATGGCTTGTTTTATTTCTTATGAATTCAGTTTTTCATTTAAAAGAAGAGGACTGCGTTATTTCTTCTTATATTTTCTGGCTTTAAATATTGCTCAAAAAACAATAGTTGTTATCCTTCTGACCTGAGCAACCCTGTAAACGCAAATAATCACAAACAAATAGCAATCTGTGAAATGTCAAGTTATGTACGTTTTTACCTTGCAGCGACACTCTCCAGTGGTCTTGTTGCAATCTTTATGAAATCCTCTGCTGGTGTCACAGTTACAGGGTCCACACATGGGGCTGCCCCACCAACCTTGAGGACAAGGCTTCTCCCCTCTGTCATCAAACACAATAACATATTAAATAAGACTCCTTAAAATAAAACTCTCTCACTATGTAAGTTATAGTAAATGTAACCTGGAACAAGCAGTTAACTGATTATACTGTATGCACACAAATCTATTAAAAAATGCAGCCTAATCTATCATGCAACCTTATAAAGGTATAAGGGCACAGTGTCTGCATTTTTACAGCTTCAACCTTTCAGGTGAGTTGACATACTGTTTTGAGGAAAAAAAAATCAAAGAATCAAGAGAATCTCTTGTATATTCAGTCCATGTGGTGGAAAAAGTGTCACAAATACAGACTTGGTATCAGCTCATATAAATGATAACAGCTGATAGCTAACTATCTGTTGAGTGTATCTCCAACTAAAAGTTACCTCCAATCTACAGTAAACTTCCTCTACAGTTTTAAATAAAAAATCTGGTGTGAGTTGTTTATACCTGTACAACCACACAGATTTTTTTTCTCTCTCAAGAGATGTCATCTCTGACTTAGCAATGTGATCTGATACTAAGCAAGCAGCGGTATGAGGGCAGTGCAGACTAAACACCCTTAGAAGATCATCAGGCATGGAGGGGGATATCTCATCCTGCTTAAGATAGGAAGTGATGTGTGTCACAGGGTTAGGGTTCAGGGGGAAAAGGCTGGCTAGTTCTTATGTGCTCTTAGATTGCACACCACTTTCTGCATATAAATTTCACCTAATGCTTTGATTACTGTTTTTTAATGTCAGATTTTCCCTCTTTCACTCTCCCTCACACATTCAAGCACTACTGAGCTCATATGAAGGTGCTCTCAAACACTCAATTGCAAAATTACAAAAAAAGGATGAGTCTAAACATAACTAAAGGCAATTAGTGAGCGTTGTCTCGGTGGACTGTCAAGTCAGTTTTCACTCTGATTCATTTTTAGTATCTGGATACAAAGAACTGTTTTTCCACACCATATCTTGTAAATTTGAAACATTATAAAATCTACTTCCTGCCATGTACCAACCTCCTTTTTCCATTTTTCCTGTTTTTTCTTAATATTTATAAAAAAAAATAAAAAAAAGAAACAAGAATCAATAAAATAGCAATTAATGATACCGTCAGCACAGATGTTGGTGATTTCTTTAAAACAAGAATTTATAGAGTCAACAGGATGCATTTTAAGAACTTTTACAACAATGATTTCTATGCTTAGAGCTGGTGAACAGCCTGAACCAACCTCTATACCGTCTCTAAATGCGGTCCCACATAAGGAGATGCCTAAATACACATACTTACTTGCTTTCACAGTATTGGCCATAGTAGGTCTGCCCACATTCACAGGTGTAGCCATGGGAGGAACTTGGTTTGCGAACACAGGTGGAAACGTGCTCACAGGGGTTGAGCTGACAAGCGTCCACACACTCCTTACCAAAGTACCCTGCAGGACACACAGAAAAAAGTGCAGATTGAAACCCAGACCTTACTAAGTTAAACATAGACAGATGACAGTACACTACTTTTGGTACTTGGGTTTATGCATGTGTGCATTACCTGGGTCACACACACAGGTGTGTGTGCTCCAGTCATCACTGCAGTGGCTGGTGTCAGGGCAGATGCTGGTGTCACAGGGGTCAGCTAAATTGCAGCCGTCCTCCACACGGATCTTCAGGCCCTGAGCCATGTTCACATTGGCCACATTGGTGGATGTCTCACCCATACGCATGCCCTGACGGACAATACAGATTGATGAAAAACAAGCAGAGGCAGGAAATTACAAGAAAAATAGAGAATAAAGGGAGTGAAGAAGAAAACCAGAAAAAATGTTTTTTTTTAATTATTTTTCTGAATGAAAAGTGTTCAGAGAGAAGCATTTTTTGGCAGACACACACTCACCTGTATGCAGCCCACAAATCCTTTGATGACATAGTTTCCATCTCCTGGTAAACCTCCAACATGAAGAGTTTGCAACTTCAAGCCAGGAAGTTCATTACCAATCTCCATTGACTTCTGCTTAAACATACAGAATTGAAAATAAAACCATTTTGTGCCCAAGAAAACATATGTATGACCTTATGCACTACCTTCACTGATGTAACATGCCCTGTACCTGGTACATGCCATAGTCTAGAGACATGGCTGCTATGTATTTGATGTCTTTGCCATCTTTCATGCTCCGCAGCTCTACCAGCAGGTGGTGCCACTCCCCGTCATTGACCCGAACCTGGGGGAAGCTCAGCGATGCCACCAGCTGCTGTCGCAACAACACTTCCATGCGAACTTGTTGATCACTGAGCTGGATGGCAGGGAAGATGGAGAAATATGATGACTGGACATTCAAGAAGAATTTTACGTCAGCTATGAACAAATAAGTTAGAGCCTAGTAGTAACATTTTTTTTTTTACTGTTTGCTGAAGAAAAATGCTATTTTGTTGACAATAATCTGTCAAAAATGTGCCGTACACTGTATCTCACCATGAGGTTGATAGTGGAGGAGGGTCCGGCATTGGCCTGCATCAGAGTGCCAGCAGATTGCCTGGTGCGGAACATGAGGCCTATGTACCAGGGGACAGCGACTGTGATGTCTGGCTCACTCCAGGAGACCAGAGCTTGGCCATCAAAGAACTGAGGAGATGGCATCGCTGGACAGGGACAAGACATTCGAAAGAGCACGATTGTGGACATGAGTAGCATTTTAAGTTAGAATTTGTGCCATATTTATACTGCAACATTTCAGTAAACATGTCAGGTCACTACTATAAAGGAATTCAGGTCAGATTCCAGTGAATATCTGCTAGATTCTTTATGGCATAAAAACATGAAATTAGAAGCTGTTCTTCTCTTGCGTATGACACTAAAGCTTACAGAGTTTCAAGGATGAATGAGCAGCCAACTGATGGATCACCTCTGACATAATTATGTTCTTCAGTACTTTGAAACAATGAGGAGAGACAACAACTAGCAGCCATGTCTTTGCCAAAAGAGTGTGACAGAAATGTGCGGTTTATTTTGGGGGATAAAATAAAAACCAGCAGTTCTGTGTGGTGAATCTGTATATTTAAGTCATCTATACCATAGATATTATAGCAATTTTATTAAAGTGTCACAGATTGTGACAAATATCAGAGTCTTCAGGCCCACTCCACCAGAGTTACAAACAGCTTCATCCATCAGGCTGTGAGGATGTTGAACACTGCTCACTACCGGACTGTAACCCACCACAGAAAATAAAAAGATATAAAGACTACTCCTGCTGTTTGCACAAACTCAATACATTCCCCCTTTTTGTTATATTACAGGTAAAAAAAAATAAATACTACCTCTGCTGTTTTACCGTCTGTTATATTATATGTAAATCTGCTGCTGACTTTTTTTGCCAGGATATCTGCCTGCTGTTGGTCATTTGCAGTACCATCCATGTATACCTCATATGCTATATGCACCTCATCACCAACACCCTGGTGATGCTGAACCATCTGACAATCTCCTATTATTGTCTACACTACTGTCACTGACTGTACACGGTTTTGAGTCACAGCTTATTAACTGTACCGTTTAGATTTATCCTAATTATGTTAATCCAGTTCTTATACTATTTATTCTATTCTATTTTTATTCTATTTTAGTTCCTAGTCCCTGGTAGGCTAGTGGTTAAGGCGCAGCACTCTCGCCGCTGCTGCCCGGGTTTGAATCAGGGTTGCGTCAGGAAGGGCATCTGGTGTAAAACACGTGCCAAATGTCAACATGCGAGTTGTCAGCATGACGATTTGCTTACAGAGCACAAGGGCTTTTCCCTTGTGCACAGGGAATAAGCCGAAAGTGACTTTCTTTCATTCTATTTTAGTTCTTAAATGTTATGGCACTCAATACTAGGTGAGAGACAAACAGTATTTCGATTTTCTCTATGTCCTACACATACGGTGAATTGACAATAAAATCCTTGAACCTTAAATAAATTCACTTAACTCTTAAATATTGAGTTGCTTCAGCAATAATAGTTTGGTTATTGTGAGATTCTTTACTTCCAATTTGATCTTTATGGTCATGATTTTCCTGCATGTGATATACGTAACTACTACTTTATGTCTAAAGGATTACTACACAGTAATTCTTAGACAATCATCCAATGTGTAGAGCCATTCTGAAAATCCACACAAAATCCTACAGACATGACACATTCTATATAAACTCCTGTGGATGTTGAGAGAGACATCAAGAAACTCGCATAAATCCCACATACACAAAGCAAGGGTCAATCTTTCAGCAGAACATGGTGTAACCTCCTGTATAATCAGCGGCATGAACTATGCATAAGACTCCAGGGCACATATTTCAACTGGAGCATTCATAAATGCATACATACACAAGCTGTAATTATGTGATAAAGCACATATTTTTTCCTGGTAGCAGGTAGCTGCAGTGGTTTTAGTTTGACTACTTAGCCAATCCTTAGTCCTCCATAAACTGGAGGAAAACAGCCACACCCCAGTCCTCATTAACTTTATCAAGACTCAGCTCGCAGCAGTTGTTAGCTTAAAGACGAGTATGTTACATCCACCATCAGTATGCTAACATGCTCACAGTGACAAGGTTAGGCTAACATGCTGATGTTTGTCAGATATTTGCTAGGTTCACCATGTTAAGCTTTTACTATTCTAATTGTTAACTTACAGTGAACCCAAAATACTGAGACTGATGGAAATAAATTTTGACCTGATGATGGTGCTGAAAAGTCAGTGGATGACAAAAGTCTTTAGAATTTATCTTCAAGGAACTGTGCACATCTGTAGCGCATGTATTGACAATACCTCCATGAGCTGTCAAGATATTTCACTGTGAACCACAAATGTTATAATTATGGTAGTCATCCCTAGAGCCACGTGCTATCATGGCTAAAACACATAACACATAAAATATGAATGATTTAATGGAGACTGAATCACAGAATGCAATTTTCATTCAACATTTTTTTTTTTGAGTTTTTCCTTATTTTGCTATTTTAAATTTCACACAGTCCTTCTACTGGATCAGAGTGAGGCTCAGGGTACAGTTTGTGCAGTGAGTTTAGGAACAAACTGAGGCTTGTTTCTTTATGAAACACCTTTTACACTTTTGTACTGTATGTGAATACTCGGCAAATATACTTATTAACCAGGTATGTTGACTGTAAACACATTCCTAATTATTGCAACAGCTTATTGGATACCAGTCAGGAGATTCAAATTTCAGATCTACTTATCATAACAAGCCACCCCTCACCATGTAAATGTGTTTTCCAGTAAAAAGTATGGTTATATTTATCCTGATTGAATTCAGTTTGAAGTTAGCATGACTGAACTCATTTCTCAAAAAATGGACTGTAAAATTGAAATATGATCTGAGAGAATTAGAAGAAAACAATCTGAGCAGATGGATGACTTCCAGTGCATTCTAGACTGTCTGTCCAGTCTGGATGCTTTTTGCAGTGTAAAATGATAACAGATCTCTGGTTTCGCATGTGACGGCAAGGTGTGTGAAGCCACAAACCAAATGTGTCAACAAGCAGCAGAACAGCCAAAACCTCTTCCTAGTTTGCTGTGATCCTAGCCCACTTCAGATATTGGATACTGAGGCCTGGCACTGGCTAGGCGGCTACCTCTCAGATGAGAGAGAGCAGAAAAGTATTGACACCTTCGCACATTGTTTGCAAGCACGCCCTGAAGGATGAAATCAGAGTTCTCTCCTTACCACCAAAGAATATAAGACAGGTTATAGAGTGTAAATAATAACTGCTGGCAAGCCCATAATGTGCTGACTGACAAACTACATACTGTTTATCTATTTGTCTCCTTATCTATCTACCTAACCTATACTATAGGTACCAGGTCTGCACTACAGTAATTCGAGTTGTGTGTCACATGGCTACTGAGGTGGCAGCAGAGACACACTGAGGACAGCTTTGGGTTCAGCGCAGTATGTGCGCACATCTTTTGTTAAATTCTTTGAGTCAGGGTTTTGAGGAGTGAGTCAGAATTAGTTCTTTGTCCTTAAAAACCTGAGGCCATTTTTAGTATCTGTACACTAGTGAGCAGATGCTTCACTGTAACTTTTCTCTGTGACTGTTGCATGAGTCAGAGTGAATCAAAGGAGGTGTTCCTTGTCTCATTTGATCTCCCAGAACACACACTGTTTCCTGGAAGTCCTCAAGATGCACATACACACTTAATGTAGGTAAACATACATGTGTCTACACATAGAAGTTCACAGAGGAGCAAACAGAGACATACACAGTTGGCCAGAGACACATCTGCATAGAAATATATATGTAAATGGAGCACACACACAAACACTTCTTACCTTGTTCACAATTCTTGCCACCATAACCGGTTGGGCAGTCGCAGCTGTAGGTGTTCCACTTGCTCACACACACTCCTCCATTCTGACACACATCTTTTGTGCAAAAGTTTTTCTTTGCAGGGCAACCTGAATAATAAGCACATTTAATTAATCTGAAAAAAGTCAGGTAATATGGTATTTATTGGCATTTTTATGTGTACATTATATATTTGTTCTTGGGAGTTAGAAATCGTACTTGCGAAATTGCTCACTAATTATGTCATGCATTTCAGAAAGATTTTTAAATTGGGCAAAGCATTTTAAGCATTGTTATTTTAAAGTAGTGAGTTGGTTTTGTGACATTTGAATGCTTAAGAGTGTGTAAGATTTACTGAATAGCATAAGGACAACATAAATCACCAAGAATGTTGTTTCAGAGGCTTGTGAAGTGGGCTGAGCTTGGTTCTTGTTTACCACGCAGCATGTCTAACCTGCTGTGGTGCCATTGTTAGCAATGTAGCTGGCCATGTCAATGGGTTTGCTGTCGATGCTGAGGTTTCTCATGCAGCCCACAAAATCTCTGTTCCTGACTGGGAAGTCCTCAGGCAGGTTGGGAACTCCACCTAACAACAGCGGTCCTGTTAAGTCCAGAGATCTACAGAGGACACAGGCAGAAAGCTGATCAGAGCAAAATCCAGAATGCTCAGTAACTATAGTGGTGGGATGATACCCTTAGCTCATGAGACAAGAGGATACATGATACAGGGTTCATGAGAAAAAGACATTATTTTAACACTGTTTTTAAGAAATTTTCAATAATGAAATATATTACTGGAAAACTAGTCTTTTATTCCACTAAAAGTCACAAAATACAAAGCAATGCAGGTGCATTTTGAAATGTTTTGCCACAACCTCAACTGACTGGCTTCTCTCTGTGATTTCATGAGTCTGTTCAGACCTCATTAACTGTGCATGAGTTCATGCACAGTTATGCATAGGCTTCTAAGTTCTAAGTAAAGCTGTGTGTAACCTTCTAACTGAACTATTACACACAATTTTAACATAAAAAGGGGAGGGGGCATCTTCTGTACTAATTTCACCCTCACACTTCATCATGCTGGCTGTCACTCTGGTTCTGTTATGTACTGATATCGTGAGACAACTTTTCACCTAGACAATAAATGTCATTATGTTTTAATACTGTGAGATCTCGTGGCATGAGAGCTCATCACACCCTTATAAGTAATCTCTTATATGATGATGTGAAATATTTTGGTTGCCCAAAACTATGACACACTAAACCACAAAATTAGACTTAGATAATCACAAACACACTGATTCAGCTCTACACAGAATAGACTGATATTCTGACTCCTTGAATACAAAACTGACAAAGCAATTGAATAAATTCCCAACTATACTGTCTTAAAAAAGCATAATGATGTTCATAAATGTTCATTTCTATTCCGTTTTCTTCATAAATTGGTGACAAATAAGGGCGAAGAAAAGGGGCTTATGTATATCCTCCAGTGCCCCCATCTCACTCTGGAAAGGGCAACTGAGATAAGGTAAGACTGACATTTTGGAAGTAAGCTTATTGCATCCACGTTTTTAAGGTGTCACAAGGCTAACTGCTCCCATCACCATGACTAACAAAACAGTAGGTCATGCAGGAAGCTGTTAACACAACGAGCCTCTCAAGATCAAAAGCCATGGGCCTTTCAGAAATTTACTGTGATGCAATGCTGCACAAAAAAATCCATCTAAATAACTGAATGTATGAGCTGTGTGTAATCACTGTTGCTTGTCCAGGAACATGTCTTGCTTACTTAACAAGTCTTTTAGGAATTCAGTGAGGAAAATCACTCAGTTCTGTTACATTTTGTAACCAGTTTTAGAGCCATAAATTATAATGACTGATATGCAATATCTTTATTTTAAAATGTCTATGTATTTCAATGATACATCTAAAAATGCATTTAACAACCCAATCTTTTGGAGAAATATCACTGATGTTTGATACTGAATTTTACAAACACAAAAAGATATTTTGTAAAGTGAAAATGTTTGCATGGTTTCTGTAGGCAGAAGATATTCTTTGCACCTTTGACTGTCAAGCAAGTGGTTCATGCTGTCTGTCTCAGTGACACCCAGTATCATGTCAAGACATTTCCAAAATTGAGACCTTTTAGACGTTTCTTTGTTTGCAGCACAATATGCACCAGTGTATTGTATATTTGTATATTCCACCTTGATGCAGTTAAAATATCCTTTAAATACAATACCTCTCAGCACCTGTGACCTGCACAAGTTCCCGAAAGAATGTAACGTCATTAACTCTGCTTTGAAGTGTTCTCTCTGTCCCTCTCTCTCTGTGGCTCCACCCTCTCTATGCTAAATGTGTCTCTGCATGCCAGCTCTCCAAAAGGCCCAATAAGAAAACTGTCATGCTATAAAAATAAAAATTAATTAGCATGTGGTAAACACACGAGTAAGTCAATTTAAGCCTGTTGCAGATGAGCTTCTAAAGCCATGTCTGTCAGCAGAAAGGCTACAAGGATGAACACAGATTAAAAGACAAGAGGAGGAGAGGATGATAGCATAAGTGTTGTCTAATCTGTTGTAATGACGGCAACTTCACATAGCCTCCAAGTCATAATATATTTTTCTGTGTGTGGGATGGATTGGAGAAAATGAGTGTAAAAACCCAAAGGTGGAAAGATTCTAGCTTACTTCTTCTGTCCGGTCTGGGCGCCCTGGGCAGCGCAAGAGTAGTTACCAATCTGCTTTCCAAAGCGTATTGCCATGGAGATATCACAGTCGTCTACAGCAACCACAGCCACCTTTTCTCCAGAGGGTCCATGAGGGGTGCCTAGACGTCCAATGTTAGGCTGTAAAAATACAATAACCATTACATTCAGGTATTCATCAACATTTACACATTATAGTGTTAAAATTGGTAAACCTCTAAGAATTCTCTACTCTAGTGATTCCACTTTTACCCTAAAAGATTATTTCTGCAGTTGCTGGGGGGGTACTTGGACAGACTGTGGAGCAGCAAAGTAATTTGATAACAACATCATTTTCATTTGACTTAAAAGCGTGTCCACTTACTGAGTCAGCTATAACACCTGACCAGTTAAATAAACATGGATAAAAGGTTAAAAGGAACAGCTACAGTACATGTAATCGCTAAGCTGTTGAACTTGCTGCTTAAGGTAATGAATAAGCAGCTGAAATAGGTAGATAAAAAACTGTTGAGGCTCTAGACTGTCTGCTGTCCAGTAATAACAAAATGGCAAAAAATATTCGCTCAGTGTGGATCAGTGCTACTTATACAATGTCTAAGTGCCCTTAGCTGGCTTGGAGAATAAGTACACAAGGCTCAGTTGGCTTAAGACAGCAAAAAAACACTGTGCTTTTGCTTGGACTTAATGATTACAAAGTAGGCAAATTCCTCCATCAAGGTCTGTGGCTGACAAATGTGGATCAGCTTATATAATCAGGTCAACAAATCACTTTAGTTTTTAAGGAAAGATAAGGTCAACTTTAAGATCCCCAAGGGGCAATCAATAAAATCATCCATTACTGGGCCATGGTCAAGAACATCTTTGTTGAGTAAAGACACAATTAGGGGGTGAAGATATACCAGAGGAGGGTATAAGGACACCAGATAAAACTCCATTAACTCACTTTTTTTTGTAAAAAAAAAAAAAAAATTCAATCAACCAAGATATTAAACCACAATCAATGTTAAAACTATTAGTGAGGCAGTCTGCTAAAATATGAGGCTGGATACAGTTAAAAGCAGAGCAAAAATCAATATAAAGCAGCAATGCAAAGTTCTTGACACCATCCATATGTTTTGTAAAAGTTCAATGGAGCATTTCCTTAACAAGTCAATTTGGAGTCAACACATCAACTCAATGTTGTTAAAAGAAATCGGTCTTTTTGATACATATGCAAACTATTTTGAAATGAAAACATAACCTTTTCATTTCCTTACTGTGAGTGGCTTACATTTGCTAAAATGATTAGTCAGCTTTCTCTGCTCTCTCTCTTGGGAGGCTAGAATAGAAAAACAGACAACAACGGGACTACAGATCCCAGATTTGATCACTGTGCTTTGTTTATTTACATAAGGCACCCAGGCTTCCTAAAAGTTGACAGGCTGAGCGCTGGCAAAAGAGACTTTCAAACCACTGAGGTGGTGTGTTAAAGGTTCAGTATTACAAAATAAAAAACAAAAGTCCTTTTTTTTTGGTCAATTTGTTCTTTAATAAAGTGATTACAACAGCACATTGTGTTTCATATGAAACAGAGATAAAGTTGCTCAAAACCAATAGAAGAGAGGGGGAGAAAAAAGCGGCAGAGATAAAAAAAAAAAAAGGCCAATGTGTGTGCATGTGTCCCCAACATAAATAGGATTAGAGTAATGAGATACTGGTGGGGCAGAGGCAAACAAAGGAAGAGGGAAAAAAGTGGGAGAAAAATGGAAAAGAAAGCGAGACTGACCAATAAGAGAGTGAAAAAGATAAAAAAGAGGCTGGCAACAGAGGGGTGCAGGCTCAGGTGGGCTCCGGTCCTGGCATATTTTCCAACACTGAGGGAGTTTTCTTATCGTCTACTGTGGCCACTCCCTTCCACATGCTCTGTTTCCACTGATTCCACAAAAAACAGATACTTTCCATAAAAACAAACAGGAGTACTACACTTGTGATTTCTTTCTTTTTCACATTTAATTTCATTCTTTTTTTTACACTAGTCCATCTGTCACAGGCATAATCATGTCACATTCATGCACACACACAGATAAACCTCAATACAAAATTATTTTATATAATTTCCTGGAAATATTTTATAGCTTCACAGGGGCAAAGGTCTGGAGCCTCTCCTCAAACGCTGAAGATGCACCTGTACCCTCATCAGCCTGCTCTGCTTCTCTTTCCTGAAGCTGCAATAATTCTTTTTCTTGGGGGTTCCAGTCTATCCACAAGGATGAGCGATTTTGGTGACACTACTGTCTAACAGTGAACTAACAGTAAAGTTACAGTATTGAATATTTTTTTCCCAATAAAAATTCACCAAAAATATACAAAAGCATTTTTATTTCAAAACTAATTGATGTAGTACCACTGGCAGGCGGCCATTAATTCGTGAAGTGATTTTGGTGACACTACAATATGTGAGTGAAGTTATTTGAATATCAACCACTATAACAGCACACTGACCAATGGCTATCGCTTCAACAGCTGCTGTCAAAGCGGCAATGAGCACAAAATCAGCATTTGACGAAAATGTTTCAATTGCTTTCATTTTGAGACTAAGATAAGAAAATAGACATTAATCTCATGACTAGGAGCAAAAAGTAAGATCAATATCAATGAGTACATTTCCCCAAAAAACTAACAAACAAGCAAATCTGACAAATGTGAGTTAAGTTAAACAGACTTAAATTCTTAACTATGCAAAAGGTTTTCAAGTGTTACACAAGTTAATTTGCCGCAGATAAAGAAAACCACTCTGTGAGCAGACTCTTCAGAGAAGCCTGTACTCACACAGATTACAGTCTTATCATCTCTTTTGAGTTCAGCCAAGCGAGGAAGGCATGAGATAAAGACAAAGAGAGGAAGCATAACATGGGAGAGAGCAAGTGAGAGAGAGATACAGTACCCAGATGAAGCCACGTTCCAAAATCTCAGGAGGTGCAGCTGTTACATGTGTTGGTTCATAGACTAATACACCCATGTATTGACACACTGAGTAAGTGCACAGCTACATGTATTTACCTAGGTGATGCATGTAACATGTAGGGGATATATTAGCACTAACTATTCTAGACTCACGAGTTTTCATGCAAAGCCATTATGCACAAATTCATGATATTTCATCCAACTGTGTCCAGGCTGCAGAACATCATACATTCATATATACCATGGTCATTTTCAAACAAAACTAGATAACATCTGAAACTACTGAAAACAAAATATGGGTAGTTTTCACAGATTTTAGATTTTAAGGCTTCATGTCTGCACCAAAAATCATAAAAGGGTGACAAAATGTTCTGTTTAATACTGGATAAATCACACAAATCAGTGTTTCCTTATTTCCCAGAATTTAGAAAGGGTTTTGAAAACTGACTTTGAAATGTTTAAAATAATTTGTACATCAGGGCCTCTCTAGGTTTTTTGTGCCATTTTCATAGAAAACTGACATGTCATTATATACAAGTGTAATGCAAAAGAAAATGGTCAAAGATTAAAAATGCCCAGTCATAAACATTAAAAAGGTAGCGGTATTCTTGTGTATACCATTTTTTCAAATTATTCCTCTCAGCTTTTACTTTTGAGCAGCATTTTGTTTTAATTCCACTTGACATTAAAATGTTTTAATAGAGATTTAACAAGCAAGAATGTGAGTAAATTAAAACTTATTCTTACTCAAAACTATAGTTAATAATTGTAGAATGTTCTGATTAGATGAATATTGAAAGCATATATCTTGACAGGAAAGACATTTGTACTACTGAGAAAATACTGCATTTTTAAAATTATAAATGCACATACTGCAGTTCCAAACAAATGCTAGTCTCTGTCCAGTGTATTTTAAATACATTTTTCACAATTTTTTCTGCTTTAAATTTTTTGCTTTGCATGGAAAGCCCCACCACAGGCAGCAGTTTGTCCTCTACATTTACATCCTGTCTTATTTGAACTCTTCCAGAGGAGGAGCAGAGTGTCTCCTACCCTGAGTCACTATAGTTTAAAAGATTATGCTGTAAAATATTTACACTTTGACAGGCAGACATACAAATCAGTAAGTGCTAATGATATATAGCTTTTCTCTGGAAACACTTGAAAGCTAAATGTTGATAGGTAAAAGAGGTGGTGGTGATCACACACATATCTTCACTCCACAGTTTATACATCAAACCCCTAAAAAAGAGGGAAATTCCTTTTTAAATAAGTCTTCATTGGATGCAATGTACTACATTGAACGTTGGTGTCCAGTTAGCTGAGTGTGTCTGTTAGCTGTGTAACTATGGCCAGCAGAACTGTATATAGTTTCAAGCATCTTTCTGACTTTCTATTTTCAAAGTACACTTGGCCATCACTTGGAAGGGCCCCATGAGAGTCTCTTATTTACCCTCTGCCCAACTCTGAGCCGTTGAAGATTCCCTCTCTCTAAGGTGTCGTCTCCAGGGAACGATAGGCTTGGTGCAGCCATGGCAACATACTTGATCCCCACAGCTTGCCACAGAGACAAAGAGGGCATAAGACACAAGTGGATGGAGGAATGCACACACACACACACACACACACACACACACATATACACACTCATAGACAAATGCATGCACAAACATTCCAACATACACCAAAAATAGTGCCAAATGCAATCAAAACATGCACACTTTCTTTCAACAGTAGCAACTAGTCTACACAAAGACACAGGACAAAGACCAAAGCACACGCACCCTCTCCCTCCCACCAACAGAGAAATACACGCTGACACCTCTATAGTCATTAGGCTGCCTGTCATAGCTGACATGATATCTCAAGCAGCCCTGTGGCTGGCATAAAGAGCCTTGCAGCACAGATTGAGTTACATGCAAAACACAGCTTCATCAAAAACACCATAAACGTGAGCAACTAACTGATGAATGGAAAATATGTGTGTGTGTGTGCCTTTGTATCACTTACATCATGAAGGCCGAAACCTGTTAACACACTCACACTGTGGGGACTCGGCCATTAAATCGAATGAATTTTAGGGTGGTAACGCAGTTTAGGGTTAGGTTAAGGTTAGGGTTAGGGTTAGGCAAGTAGTGGTTATGATTAAGATTAGGATAAGTCTACAGGAAATGAATGTAAGTCAATGTAAAGTCCCC